AAAAAGCAGAAGCAAGATGGAGAAAGCTCGGAGGTACTGGGGACGTTGAAGCAATGTCGCCCTCGGCTCTGCGGGGCTGTAAATCGGAGCCGGGTCTGCAGCGCGCAGGAAAGGTGGAGGCAGCTGCCTGCGGGCAGGACGCTGCCTGTCTCTGCGTGTAACCTTTGCTGGGGACGCACCTCGGTCCCTGTCCTGCCACGGGCTGAGCTCCTTCCTCCTCCTCTGAGCTCACGGGCTCGAGGGATCCAGCGTCTTCCCAAACACATTCTCCTGGGGAAGCCAAACGAGCAGTTTTGTGGCTCTTCTCCCTCAGTCCGTGGCTCCTCTCCCTCAGTCCGTGGCTCCTCTCTCTCACTGTTCCCCCACAGCCTCCGCCCGACGACGGCATTTACTGGCAAGTCAACATCGACCGGTTCCACCAGCATTTTCGAGACCAGGGGATCGTCAGTGCCGTGGCCAACCGCATGGATCAGGTTCGTGGAAGTGCTCAGAACCCTCCTGCGGTCGCTCTCCACGTCACGGGGGGAGCTTGATGGTTGTGGGGAGGTTTTAAACCCCGCTCCGGGGCAGGCAGGGGTGGCCCACGTTCGGTTGCTGCCGCGGGAAGAGCTCAGGACAGAGGTTCTCCCACACTAAGGGCCGTTTCCTTCCCCCCAAACCAGACCAGCAGCGAAATAGTGCGGACGATGCTGCGGATGAGTGAAGTCACCACGTCCTCCAGCGCGCCGTACACCCAGCCGCTCTCTTCCAACGAGGTCGGTTCCTGCCCCTGGGAAGTCAGGGTGTAGCCGAGGCCCTTCTCCGCTCGCACGGCCCCGGGTTTGGATCGGGCAGGAAAAGTCTGTAAAGCACCTGCAAATTCAGGCAAACCGCTTATTCCATTTTACCCCCACTTATATTCTGCCTGTTTTTCCTCCCGCAGATATTCCGATCTCTTCCAGCCGGATACAACATTGTGAAGCAAGTTTTGGACCAGTACCTCACCCTGTTAGCCGACGACCCGGTAAGAAACGCGTGATTATCTTCACTGCCCGAATGCGAGAACTCGGTTGCGGAAAGAAGTTAAACGCCGCTCGACGGCGGCTCCTCGCAGAGCTCCCTGCACCCCGAGGCTGCGCCGCTCGCTGCCTCCCTTTAGCCACAGGCTGGGGAGATCTCAGGCCGAGGGAAAACCAGTTTTCTACTGATTTTTAAAAGATACTGAAAGTGTTAAAAAAAATGGGCGATGTTGTTAGGCTGTTAATATCAGATTTTTTTTTTTTTTCATAAAATCTGTGTGTTACTTTTTACGATCGAGATTTAAAGAAGATCAGGATTTTTATTACTAAACTTTTTATTTTTTCTCTTCTTGTAGCTTGAGTTTGTGGGTAAATCCGGGGACAGCGGCGGGGGCATGTACACTGTCAGTATCCTTTGTGGGTAAACTAGCTGACCCAGCGTTTTCCAGCACGTAAAACGATTCCCGAGCGCTGGTGTTATCCCTTGACCTCGACCTTGCACAGATCTCCACAAGGCCCTGGCGTCTCTGGCGACGGCGACGCTGGAGTCCATCGTGGAGGAGAGGTAAAACGGCGATTTGAAGATTTCTTGACCCTTTCTCGCTTCCATCCGCTGATTTATTTTCCTCTCCCGCTCAGATTTGGTTCCCGCTGTGCCAGGATATTCCGCTTGCTCCTGCGGAAGAAGCATTTGGAGCAGAAGCAAGTGGAGGATTTTGCCATGATCCCGGCGAAGGAGGCCAAGGACATGCTCTACAAAATGCTGTCGGAGAATTTCGTGTCCCTGCAGGTGAGCGTGCCCGCCCTGTCACCAGAGTGACGGTAACGCAAGGGGCGTGTGGACGCAGAAGGAGGGCTGGGGAGCGATGGGTGAGGAGGCCTCTGAGATCTCAGAGACTTTCCCAAGCAAGAGCCAACGTCGCTCTCCTGCTCCTCACAAAACGGCTGTCCAGGTGACGGGCGTTTCCGAGCGTCGCTCCCGTGAGCAAGGGACACTGTGCCCCGCACGGGACACCGGCAAAACCCCGCCTCGGTCCCCAACCCCAATGTAGCTCACCACGGGGACGTGCTGCTCGGTGAAGTCCTCCCCGCTTCTCTCGCCCACCGGTAGGAGATTCCCAAGACTCCCGACCACGCGCCATCCCGCACCTTCTACCTCTACACCGTGAACATCCTGTCCTCTGCGCGGATGCTGCTGCACAGATGCTACAAGGTACAGCCCAGGCACCGCCGTGGACGCTCCCGGAGATCCGCCAGTGGCTCTGCTCGGTCCGCCTGTCCCCGAAAGCCACCGTCACCAGCCTGATCCCTGTCAGGTCCCCACGTGGCCTCCATCCACATTAATATTCCCAAGCAGGGGGGGGAAAATCCAGGCCCCCCCAAGCGTGCTCCTGCTCCAGGTGTTGGAGCCCAGTGGTTCTCCACCACCACCATCATGCGTGGTCCTCCACCACCACCATGTGTGGTCCTCCACCACCACCACACGTGGTTCTCCTCCACCATCACAACCACCACTTGTGGTTCTCCTCCACCACCACCACCACCACGTGTGGTTCTCCTCCACCACCACCACTACCGCGTGTGGTTCTCAGCC